CAGCCGAAGCAGCAGCAGTACAAGCTGGACAAGCAGAGCCTGCAGATCAAAAGCCTGCAGAGCAAGGTGAGTGCCCGGGTCTCCCCCTGGGCGCGGGTGGCGGCGGGGTCTGCCTGACGGCAGGGAGCAGATGCTGGCCCCCGTGGCGCTGCCTGCTGGGAGCCTCTTGAAAGCCCAGGGCTAACTGAATCATTCACAGGCTCGAGCCCTGTCTGCACTTGGAGCCTCTTTGTCATCTTGCATCAGAGGCCTCTGACCAGTGCCAGCCCACAGCTCGGGCACTCAGGGCTTATTGTCTACCCCACTCAGTAAAAAGCCAACCACTGGAGCCTTGTGTCCAATGAAATCTAAAGGATATTATTGTCCATTGTCCGACAGTGAAATCTGAAGGATATGAATTGGGGCCCAAATCCTGCCCACTGTGCTCTGCTGCCTCTTTGGTTTGTTTGCAGAACAGACTTCTGGCAGAGATGGGCAGACCCCAGACCACCCCAGGGTCTGCCAAATTCCAGCTAGGACCCGGCTGCTTAAGCTTTACAAGTGGGTTCAGTGCTCTCCAGAGGACTGCTCCCGCGGCAGAGTCCCTGGGGGTGTCATTATTGACTTCAGTAGGAGCAGGAGGCGGTGCTGCTATAGGACACATTCTCGCAAGCATTTGTAGTGAAAGCTGGCTAAATGAACAATTCACTAACTTGTCCATGGTTTTGATGCAGGTCAACCTATTAATCCCTTTCCATCTTAAGGACAACAAAACTCAGAGTCCAAAGTGGAGGATAAACCTAAAGAAAAGCCTCAGCCATGCCAACCAAAGCCAAAATGCCAGTATGGAATCTGCACAGACACAGAGTGAGTATCTGCAAACGCCCTCCTGACCCCCTTTTAGTGAAGTCATCCTGCCAGCAGTTACTTCTGTGGTCCAGAAACAAAAGGTTCAATTGTCCTAATTCAGGATGTGAGCTTTGTGCCACTACAAAATCCTTCTGAGTCAGGGTCACACTAGAACCAGAGGGATCTGGTGGCTGTGCAGGATGTAGTCTTCAGGAACAGCATTAGTCTGGCAGGAATTTAAGGATTTAAGAGGAATGTTTCAATCTAATATTAAGAACCTTGCATGGAACAGATGGCTTCTGGCAGAGACCACTTATCTAAATGGGGTACTATGGACTAGTCTGAGCCTGGCAGGCCTGGGCATACCACTGTGGGGAGGGGTCTTGAAAGCAGCAAATCTGTCATTAAAGATTCTTCCCCTGTCACTTACCCAAGGTGGATGTCATGAGCCAAGACAGGAACTTATTTTTGGCTGTCTGCTGGCCACTGACAGCTGCTGCTGACCCATTACTTTGCATAAACAGACCTGACCGCTGTGATCAGGGGGAAGGAGTAGGCTGTGCAACTCTGTGTTTGCAGTTTATTCTTAATAGGAAGTAGGTTGCCCCTCAGCATCAGAGCTTGTCCCCCAAGAGGGCTGCAGAAGGACACTGATTAGTTTATATGTGAGAACTGTTATCTGGTTGCCCCTGTAGGAACCAGAAAGGGGTTGGGGGATTGATGGGGGAGCAGATTGCAAATAAATGCAGAAAAGGAGAGAGGCAGAAATTGAGCAGCTTTCCATCTGAATTGGATTAACCATCAGTCATTTCAGGGCCTGGGACTAAATCCCCCTAGAGTTTCTTTTTAGCTATTGCCTTGTGTGGCTGGACAGCATCTACCCTCATCTAGTCTCAAATCTGTTCCTGGTGAGTAATAGTCACAGAGACCTGGATCTAACTCTGAGATGGTAAGGCCAAGGCTATCGGAGCCCTGGACTTCTTCCATCACAGCACAGGCCAGGTTGTCCTGGTTAGTGGCAATGCCAGTTCCACCGGGGATCGGTGGGGCCCCTTCTTTGGGGCCAAGCCTTGATTCTCTCTATTTGCTTAAATCACTAAAACATTTATTGTTAACAGGAAACTGTAATTCAGTTTCTTCTCTGATCAGCAAGAAGACTTTCTGACAAGTGCTGATGGGCAAGCTACCTGGAATTCACAAATCCAGTGTCCTCTCCCTGGGTGGCTTGTCTCGGCATTCATTGCAGTCACTAACTCAAAGGCTCGTGCCCAGAGCTGCTCCCTGTGTATTGCTAGTCAGTCTAACAATGCTGACGTGACCCCACGACACCCTAATGACGAGCTCCACCAGCAGCTCCTTTAGAAAGGCCTTTCTGTTTGCATCCAGTGAACACAAGTTGACAGAGCAAAGGTGGCACCTGGCCAACTATGTGAAAGTTTAAAACAACCCCGAGAGTAAAAGGTTTAGTCACTCGCAGAAAGAAGATTGTGTCTTTAGGCAGTGCACATGCAGTCTGACTGCATGCCAAGTAGGCGAAAGTTAAACCTCTTGTCTCTCATCGACGCTGGGATTCCAAAATAACAAAGTGGGGGGAGGAGGAGGTGCAGAAAGCAAACTAAACAGCTCCTGGCGGGAGGGAAGTAAATGCTTGAACAGCCTGCGGTCTGGAATGCAATACTATGTTCAAGGAGCAGTGTTTACTTGCAGGTTGGTGGCTGTTGAATCCTATTGAAAGGTGCAGTCCAAGGGGTCTTGTTAAATTAAGATTTTTTTTTTTTTTAAATGAGATCAGTGAAAAGCAAAATATTTAGCAGCCTGTGGAATATCTCTCTCTCTCTCTCACTTGCTAGTAATTTAAATCTGCACAATTCACAGCACTGAAACTAAACAACCCTTAATCGAAATGCTTGATGGGAGGTTGCAAACTTAAGGGCTCCTTATTCAATTGCTTAGGTCACTGCTATGATCGCAGGAACAAAGCAGTGGACGAGCAGTCATGTGTTTGGCAAAAGCTCAGAACACAACCAGTTGCTCAATGGGAGTGACTTTCAGTTTCTAGTTACCATCCACTTGTATTGTGGGATAGTCTGGTAGGATCTTGAGACTGGTAAGGGGGTCGGGCACCATCTCTGCAGGTACCAGGCCAGATTAGAGGAGGATATAGTGAGCAGTGCTAAAAGTAGTGTCTCCCCCAAATGATCTCTTCTGGTCTTATTGGTTCTTAGTCTTCGGATCCGAGTGGCAGGCAGGTCTAACCTGGTATAACTTGTGCCAGAGATCCAGCAGACATCTACATTGGCTTATCAATGTGTAGATGACACACCTCAGCTCTGAGTCTGGGCTTGTGATATGCACGTGTACTAACCCTGCCCTTAGGCGGAGCTGAACCTTTACGGTAACTGCCATCTTGCAGAACAATGAGATGCTGATCTAATATGTGCCCCCAGCCCCGTCAGACCAATACAAGTGACAGGAAGCTCCAAAAATCCTACTGCCCTCTGGGTTTTCACGTGTGAATCTGTTTTGTGGTCCGGTCATGAGGATATGGAGATAATTTGAGGAGAATCTCTTCTGCTCTTATGGCAAGCCTAGCATGGCTGGGTACTTGCATCAGTCAGATGGGAGTGACTTTTGGTTGCTATCTATCCCAATTATGGGATGATTTGGTGGGGCTGAGTCCTTAACATGCAGATTTCATACTCAAGCAGGCCACACTGACGCAAGAGTCCAGATGAATGGACACCTTGTGCTCCTAAAGCTGGTGCCTGTCTTCAGGGTTGAGTCACTTTGCATAACTGGGATTTCAGGCTTGTGAGCTGTCCACCCATCACCTTGCCAGTGCTAAGACACTTTTGTCTTTGCCTTGAGGGGGAGGGAGGGGTGGGCAGGAGAGGGTAGGAGTAGCGGGTCCTAGAGCCAATTAGGTAAAAGTTCAAACTTTGGATGAAAGTAGCTATTATGATGGAATCGGAGCGTGTTGAGGGTAGGGGGAGGTGGAGGGGAGCCTGGCGGATCAGGAATGCAGCGGGGATTGGCTGGAAGGAAATTGGGTGAAAGTTTAACAGTCCTTCCCTGCACCCCTCCCCCTTCCTGGAGCCGGAGGGTTTTCTTCGGGAGAAGCCCTCCCTCGCTGGTTCCCAGACCGAGGTGCCCTTTCCCCTACTTGAGGGCGACGTAGACACTGATGTCAGCACGGGGCGAGTTGCTAAGGCTGCTGAACAGGCACAAGGAGGCTGGAAGGATCCTTTTTTTTTTTTTTTCCCCTTGCGTTAGACTTTCCTGCAGGAAAATATTGGAGTCTGTGCAAGGGTTTTCCATCCTGCGGTCTACTTGTCACTTGCTTCAGAGCTCAAAAAGGGGGGGAAAAAAAATCCTGAACTACACAATAGATGGGGGTCACTGGAAGCTCGGGAGGGGGACTGGGAAACTTGCTGGCATGTAGTGCTGGTACCGTGCCACGTCTGTCAGGCCTGCTGCCCGGAGCATAGGCACCAAGGTGAGAGATGCCTTGGTAGTAATGCCTTGATAGTGTCTGGCTTAAGCACTGGCAGAGGAATCCCAGCACAGCCTGGAGACAGCTCCTTGCCTTGGGTCGGCACAGGTAGAGCTGAGCAATGGGGCTGAGATGCTTGGAAACCTCCTTTCACATCACTTGGGGTAGCAAGAGCAGCTAGGAGCCTTCTGCCAGCACCCCTGCGGGGAGAGGGACCACTCACTTCCCTGAGCTGTGCCATCCTCTCAGCATGTTTTCTCCTTTGGGGGGTGTATGGCCATGACTAGGGGATGGGGGTAGAAATGATATTTGCTGTGACAGCCCCTGTGCTTCCCTGTTGTTTGCAATGGCTAGAGGCTTCTGGTAATACATTATTTTGGTGCAGAAGTCAAGGAAACTTCAGATCGGGCTAGAAAAGAACTGAGCCAGTTCAGAGCCTAAATCAGGAAGGGCTACTTGGCACTGCTCCAGTTGACCCCAAGAGCGAGCTCTGCCCCCCTTTCCCCCGCCCAGTGCAGGGCTGCTCTGCTTGCTGGAGGGAAAGCTTTCTGCAGCCCTTCAATATCCTGTGTGAAATGTTGGACACGTCGTAGCCAGGCTGTAGGTTTGCAGCTGCATGACGCAAGCTGTACAGTACATTTTTTTTACAGTAAAATACCTTGGGCTCTGGGAGCTTAGTGCAGCGGAAGAGGAGCGGAGAAGGCCATGTCCTCCGTGCGCTCCCCAGCGGAGGCCGGTGGCATAGGAAGTGGGGGAAAGTTCATGTTTACACGCCAGCCCTTGTAATCCCTCTTGGACTCTGCTCGTGGCAGCAGCAAGAGAATCCAAACCAAATTTTAAAAGCCCCTCCTTTTTGGGCTGGGTTTTCATTCAGCTTTAGGAAATGAACACAGCAATATGTTTCAAAGCTGAATGCAAAGGGCACTCTCCCTGCTTTCCTTAAAGCTGGTTCAATGAGGAACAGGCCTCCCTTTGTCTGGGGAAATGCCGGGGAAGTCTCGCCACCTGTTCCAGGCAGACAAAGAGCTGTTTGACTGTTGCCATTCCTCGGAGCAGGGCAAAGTCCCTGCACATCCTGACACATCCCTGTCCTTTTGACTCAGGTTTTGTAATAGGCTTTTTTTCTCCTTCTTTGTGAGGACTGTTGATTGTTCTCAAATGGACTTTAACAGTGCTGTTGAAATGGTGCTTTGCTGGCAGTTACAGTAAAGCCAAGACCAAAGTACAGCCATGGGGGGAAGAAGAGCAGAGACATTTGCTTTACAATTAAATCTTGCAGGATTTGTACAGAGAATGGTTGGTCTCTAGCCAGTGGTTATATTGCGAGGGGAAAACTAGACCAGTGACTGATAAAAGGCCTGGCAACGTGGGCACGGCAGAGCTGTGGCATGGCAGAACATGGGTCTGTGGCAGAGCTAATCCTGGGCTGACCTGGGAGTCTGGCCGCTTTCTTTACCCTACTGAGGATGTGCATAGGACTTTTGATATTAGGAAGGACTCTGAGCAAAAGGGGTCTCTTGAACATTAATGCTTGTCTGCAAACCCTGTTGTGTGTGTGAACAGGCAAACGGTCCAACAGGCTGTCTGGGAGGCATCTCCTCCAGAAAACACTGTGGATAGCTCGCTCTGACTAACGAGGCTGAAATCCTGCCTGAGAGCTTGGTAGCACCTTCAGCTACTGTATCCAGGGACAAATCTAGGATTTAAGGGTCCTTTCCAGTTCGTTTGGGTTTTTTTTCTCAGTCTAGAAACCAATGGCAAGAGCTGCAGGGACGTTGTCCTGACATCTGCCAGGTCTTAGTGACAGGGGGAGCTCTAGACTTCACAGGCACCTGCCTTCATCACTTAAAGCTGTGTTGTGTTCTTGAATGAGTTCCTCTCAAAATAGCTTCTGGAAGCTGTATAACACTGCTGCCTTCTTGCGAGAGGGAGCAAACCGTGGCTGCGCAGCCGGGAAAGCTCTTTGCCCGCTCCCTGGTAGGAGTGTGCTGGTTTGCATCCTCACTCCAGTCGCTGGAGTCTAGTACAAACCTTTAGTTTCACTTGCTACAGAAGCCCAACTGACTGGGAACAGGTGCCTTGGAAGACATTATGGCACTGTAACTTTTATTGCCCTCATTGTGGAAGGCTGTGCTATGTGCTGTCCAAATAAACAGTGTCACTGGTGCCCTTAGCTTCATCTTTCAAAGTGTCAGAGTACACGGGGGTGGCTGGGCTCATATCCAGGTGTACAAATGTTAGAGTTGTAGCATGAACTAATCTGATAAGAGACTAAGCACAATGTAGAGAAGACCTCCTGCTGA